ACAATATGCCAACCGTATTAGCGGATCTCAATAACCTGAGTGTCGATAAAGGCAAATCCGCACATTTCCCAATCCATTGGAATAGGTACATACATTAAAACCGAATGGATGAAAAAAGAGCATCGGGTGTTGTTATATCCGCCATTCCGCAGTGAAAGCATTCCAGTTAGCGGCGACAAAAGCGGTAATCTGCACGTTAGCAATTATCGGCAGAATTTGCATACACGCAGATTATCGTCTATACGAACGTATACACATCGGGTAATTGGCTGGAATTGTCATAATTGGCAACTTCTAACGTTGTTCGAGCAGTCCGCTTATGTTTGTAAGGATGAACGTTCAGTGTAGTGTAACTAGTCCTTACACTCCGCTTAATCTTTGGAACTTGCTGTGACAAGCATCCAAAACACAACGGCTATAACTGGAATATTCGCCGAATAGAAATTGTCATACATACCATTAGTAATATTATTCAATGACCATCAACTAATACATAATTGATAAAAACAGTTTGATAAATAAAGTTAGAGCTATTTGTTTGAAACTTGTCTTAAATTGCTGCTTCACAGAAAAGTGCCTATATTAATGTTTGCATAAAATTTTTCAAGCTGACTTTCGCCTGGATCAATGAGTCAGTGTCGTTATATATTACACATGGTGTTATATACTTTTCGTATTTTGTACTTGACATATATGTATTCTACGAGCTGCAACCTAGAGCTATTTTTTCAAAACTTGTTTTCGAATTTATTCTTTAAATTGGTTGTTTTTGATTTATAGAAAAGTGCCTATATTTCTCTTTTGCTCAAGGTCTTCCAGGCTGACTTTAGCCTGAACCGATGAGTCAGTGTCGTTATATATTACTCATTGCACTTTACTTTTATAGTAGTATTTTGTACTTTCATATTTTTCCTTAATATAGTGTGACAAAGTCTTCTGGCCAACATAAACACTTGATTAGCAAACGCCATTGGTTGAGCTTATCTTAACGCTGTTATTACTATCTGACAGTTTTTGATAGTTTTTTAATTTATTTTTTCATTGCTGCGGTGGTAAAAGCAGCAAGCTGTTTGTTGGAACTGTATCACCAATGTGACCAGTAGATGTCGTCGATTCTGGTGCTATAGCAGAAATGAACTACTCGCCATTAAACAAACTTTTAATATAGCTTTCGTTTGGCTGGTCTCACCGTAAATAGGTGTTTAATAATGCTATTTGGCAACTCTTCTCAGGTATGAAATGAACGAAAACTAAGCAACTATCATCTATCTAGAGTATATGGTCTAATGAAATAAGACACAACGTGTCATCTACTGCCAAGCCTAGAATATACTGATGAGTTGCCAAATAGCACGAAACATCTGTTTGTGGTTGGACACCTGTGGTAAGACTGTATTACTACTTTGAAAAGTATTGATCCGAGAACTGAAAGGAAAAAAGATAACGCGAAATCTCATGTTATGTGGAAATACATCAGCAGTATTTTTTTGGATTAACACAATACGCAAAATGCAGCATTTTTTAGATTATCATAAAAAAGCATTTCTGTGTGAGCTACACAGCCATATACATTATGTCTGTACATCTGTTAAACGGACGGAAAAATCGTTGCTTTGTGCATCACTGATGAATGTACAGCTACGCAGTACAGTTTTTTGAACATGTTTTAAACGAGACTAACCTTTGTCTCAATGGTAGAACAGGGGTTACCTTCTTAATTACATGAGCTTGAGGAGTGAAATGGTATTGTTGAAAATATACTAAGTGCCATATACATCTGAACACCCAGTTTAAATGGTTTTATTTTAATAAAAGTTGGTGAATGTATTTATCTTACTGTAAATAACAAGTGAACAAATTTTCAGCCTTATCAGTTGGACATTCCGGTTTTTATACTGCTTTTTTTTAATTCACTAACGCTCTAAAAACGAATATTTCAGCCGCAGTAAAGAATCAACGTTGGCGGATTTTGGTTCTTGACATCCTTTACGATTTCGTCAACTTAGTGAGTTTGATAGGGGCCGTATAGTGGGACTTCGGGAAGCTGGACTTTCTTTTCGGGCAATTGAAGTTAGAGTGCAAAGAAGTGTTAGGTGTTGTCAGGCATGGCTTCGAGAAGGCCGTACGCAAAGAGCAAGGGGCACTGGACGCCGCCGTAGAACAACAGACCGTGAAGATCGCCGCCTAAGATTATTGGCCTTAAGGGACCGTTTCTCCACTACCAGGTCCATTGCAAATGAATGGTTTGCAGAACACGGAAGACCTATTGGCATGCGAAGTGTTTACCGACGAATGAGAAGTTTTGGCTTGTTTTCATACCGGCCACACTGGGTCCTCCCTTTAACTCGAGAACACCGACGTAATCGCCTTGAGTGGTGCAGACAACGGTCACTCTGGGATCAGGAATGGAACAGTATTGTCTTTAGTGACGAGTCTCGATTTTGTTTAGGCATGCACGATGGTCGTGCCAGGGTTAGAAGACGACGTGGTGAAAGGAGGAATCCACAGTTTTTTGTTGAAAGACATGTTCATCACACTGTTGGAGTTATGGTTTGGGGTGCTATAGCTTATGGTTCCAGGTCACCTTTAATCTTCATCAGAGGTAACATGAACGCGCAGCGTTATATCCACGAAGTTCTAGAACCCCATCTTTTACCCTATCTTGACACGCTGGCAGATCCAACTTTCCAACAAGATAATGCCCGACCACATGTTGCAAGAAGATTGCTCAATTTGCAACGTCCTCCTCAGACTCTAGAAGCACTTCGAGAGGAGTTGGTGGTTGCCTGGAATGAGATACCACAGGAGAACATTGACCACCTGATCAGAAGCATGCCTAGGCGCGTTGGAGAATGCGTAGCACATCAGGGTGCATCCACACATTATTAAAGGTCAAAGGGCTTTGAAGCAGTGCAATCATTTTGAAGTTTTTATCATTTACTTATTATGCTTTATTAAGTACTTATACAAAATTTTATTAAAATAAAACCATTTAAACTGGGTGTTCGGATTTATATGTCACTTGGTATATATATTTTGCCCGAATGATACGAAATACCGTTAGGGAAGCCTTAATTCTGCATTTTCGGATTCATATCAACATTGACTTGAAAATTGTCAGTTCTTCTGCTCCTAATGATAAGTGAGATAGGTATAATGACTGTGAAAATATTAGAATGACTATCCTCTATAACCTCTAAGCAACAAATGGACTTAAGTCACTCAGTCTCGTTAGATTCACTGCCAATATCGGTCTGTAGCTCACTTAACAAGTGTAGCAGCCTTATTGGGGAAAATATTGCCATTATTTTGCCCATTCACTTTTGTTTGTCGATCCAGCAGAGCTATTGACAAAACAGACGAGAAAACAACAAAAGCCCACACTAAATCTTGCGAGTGGGGGAGGGCGCACGTCAATTTTTTTGCCTGCGTATATTTATGTTTCAAACTCTGGCAATCCTATGCGTCTATCAGACATATCAATAGAACCATATGAAGAAATACAGGGTGTGGTGCTCTTATCGAACCGGCAATCGATCGCAAACGGTATTTTTGGTTAGTTATTGTTCGCGTACGTCGTCGTGTTTATTTACAATGTTCTCGAATCAGTTCGCCGACATGTTGTTAGTTTGCGGTGAAGCCCGTCAGAATTCAAATTTTGCAGGTCATGCAGTTACCCCCAACGTTATCAGGAGAAGGATACCTTACCTTTCTAGCCAATAACCTACCAGAACCTTTGGAATAGACCTTAGACAACATGCCATTACAACGGAGACAGAATTTGTGGTTTCTTTATGACGGGGCACCACCACACATTTTTAGATGTGTCATTCAGTATTTGAATGAACATTATCCAAATCGCTGGATTGGTCTAAATGCTTCTGATCCTCGAAAATAGCCAGCAAGATTTCCTCACCTCAATCCGATGGATTTCTGGTATTAGAAGGAACTTAAAGGGATGGTTTATGGGGCTGGTCCAATAACAACTGAAGCATAACTTCGCGAAAAGACTTTAATGCGGCTGAAATAATAAATGGACAACTTCGAGGTCCTAGAGTAAGAAGAAACTTGATTCGTCGTAATGAATCTTGTGTGGAAAGTGGAGGACGACATTTTGAACACCTTCTTTTAAAAAGAAAAACGATGTATGTGTCAAAATTGTGTTGCCTATTTATAAGTGGATTTTTTTAATACGTTCAATAAACTTTTCACACACCAGGTGAAGCGCTGAGATGGTTAGTGGTACGTCCGTTTTTTAATTTTTTTCATTTTACGAGTACATTATCAAATAATGAAATAATACCAAAAAGCCACAAATAACAAACTCCATCTTTATTTACACTGCGTACCGTCGTAGTATGCGTCTGGAATTGCTGCGTTGTTAGATTTTATTTCACTTTAAAGTCGCTTTAACCCCTCTATTAACCATTTAAATAATGACTATCATAACGTTTACACCCTGTATTTTTATTTATAAATTAAGTATTTTAGGATTTCTAATTGCACTTTTAGATTATTCCCGTAATTATATGTTGCTTGCCATTAAAATGTGTTTCTTCACCAAGATTAAGCTGAGATCATCTCGGGTTCCAATATGCTTGAAACATTAGCCAGTTGAGATCAGACTTTCTTCTCATATGGCACGTACGTACGTTTCGGCTGTTCTCTATTACATTATAGTGACAAGACGAGTTAGCTCAGCCAGAAGTACATCTTAGACCGAGTCAAAGCGTGCATATCCATACTGGATTCATATGAATATATTCTAAACTCCATACGAGTTCTCAACTCCATTCTCGGCTGTAAGACGCTAGAAGCAGTCGTACTCTAATTTCGTCCGAAAACAAGCGCTCGGGAAAGCGCCTCCGCGTTAACTTTTCAGCAAATTTCCGTACGAGAGGATGACAGCAACAGCGTCATCTTCATATGCGCGGCAGTAGCGCTTCCATATCATCAAGCACGTCTTTAATTGCATGTCTCAGTAATCCACTTAATTGCAGCTGCAGCTGCAACACAACACGGCTGTCACGCGGAGCAGGCGCACATTTTGAGAGGGCCAAACCGCAATATGAAACGCGACCGGGTATGAAGACTAAAACATGCCGGGGATTGAAATGTTTGAACTGTTAACCGGACTTTGTTGCCAGATTACAGAAACTTACTTTTCAGGAGTTTCTCACTTGCTGTTGATATTGATGTTACAGTAGAGTGCCTATATTGTTGCCGACATGTTTTGAAAAAAATCACTCATTGATCAACTTCTGTACCTCATCTACTCAAAGTCGCCAAACAAACATTTTGGTCATGACACGATTCTTCTTAAAGAGATTGAATAGCGTGAACCACAGTTTGTCCTGATTCTCTTTATAATACTGGTAAAAACTGTTCCTTGATCTGGTCATCTTTTATCGATATCGTAATGCCAGCAATAAAGGCTATGCGAATTTAGATTCTATCTATCGTATTGACTGGTATTGTGATGTTACGTAAGAAAGAAACTGAAAGGCAATACATACACTAAGTGACATATAAATCCGAACACCCCGTTTAAATGGTTTTATTTTAATAAAATTTTGTATAAGTACTTAATGAAGCATAATAAGTAAATGATAAAAATGTCAAAATGATTGCACTGCTTTAAAGCCCTTCGACCTTTAATAATGTGTGGATGCACCCTGATGTGCTACGCATTCTCCAACGCGCCTGGGCATGCTTCTGATCAGGTGGTCAATGTCCTCCTGTAGTATCTCATTCCAGGCAACCACCAACTCCTCTCGAAGTGCTTCTAGAGTCTGAGGAGGACGTTGCAAATTGAGCAATCTCCTACCCATCATATCCCACACGTGCTCAATTGGGGATAAGTCGGGAGATCTTGGTGGCCATGGTAACAATGTGACATCATTATGTTGAAAGAAGTCTATTGTGACTCTTGCAACATGTGGTTGGGCATTATCTTGTTGGAAAGTTGGATCTGCCAGGGTCAAGATAGGGTAAAAGATGGGGTTCTAGAACTTCGTGGATATAATGCTGTGCGTTCATGTTACCTCTGATGAAGATTAAAGGTGACCTGGAACCATAAGCTATAGCGCCCCAAACCATAACTCCAACAGTGTGATGAACATGTCTTTCAACAGAAAACTGTGGATTCCTCCTTTCACCACGTCGCCTTCTAACCCTAGCACGATCATCGTGCATGCCTAAACGAAATCGAGACTCGTCACTAAAGATAATACTGTTCCATTCCTGATCCCAGAGTGACCGTTGTCTGCACCACTCAAGGCGATTGCGTCGGTGTTCTCGAGTTAAAGCGAGGACCCAGTGTGGCCGGTATGAAAACAAGCCAAAACTTCTCATTCGTCGGTAAACACTTCGCATGCCAATAGGTCTTCCGTGTTCTGCAAACCATTCATTTGCAATGGACCTGGTAGTGGAGGAACGGTCCCTTAAGGCCAATAATCTTAGGCGGCGATCTTCACAGTCTGTTGTTCTACGGCGGCGTCCAGTGCCCCTTGCTCTTTGCGTACGGCCTTCTCGAAGCCATGCCTGACAACACCTAACCACAGTGTCTACACTTCTTTGCAGTCTAACTGCAATTGCCCGAAAAGAAAGTCCAGCTTCCCGAAGTCCCACTATACGGCCCCTATCAAACTCACTAAGTTGACGAAATCGTACAGGTCTCCGTACTCTAGGCATCGTAACCGATCGTAAAGTATGTCAAGAAAAAAAATCTGCCAACGTCGATTCTTTACTGCGGCTGAAATATTCATTTTTAGAGCGTTAGTGAATTAAAAAAAAGCAGTATAAAAACCGGAATGTCCAACTGATAAGGCTGAATATTTTTTCACTTGTTATTTACAGTAAGATAAATACATTCACCAACTTTTATTAAAATAAAACCATTTAAACTGGGTGTTCGGATTTATATGTCACTTAGTATATTTACTTTATTTGAAATCTTTACCCCGGACATGACGTACCGCAATGCTCGTAACTGTGCAGCGGATGGGGCAGACGCAGAAGAGGGGCAGCCGTATAGAGCGTAGAGTCTAGAGTGAAGTGCCTCTGCGGAATATCTAAACCTACCCGGAAACTTTAATCTCCAAGATTAAAGGCTTGTAAATAAGATAATTTCTCTTGACAATTTTTTAAGACCTCCGATAGACGGGTCTCTTGAGTTCACCGTCTTCGCCTCGGCTTCAGTCGAGTTGCCATATATTGCTGGCTATACGGATTGATGTTTTGTATATAAATGAAGTTGCAAATAATTGGGGTCTCCCAAAACATATTCTAGTGTATTTTGGATATTAGTCAATCAACATTACAATAAAGTGCATTCAATGTTATCCTAGCTATAAATCCTTGATCTCAAATTGTTTTGAAGATGTTTTATAAGTAGCAGATACGGAGACAAGGAAATTTTCTTGGGACTTATCGAACACTTCAGATACATCGTGAAAATTGTACTGCCTATTCTGTGCAAGTAGTATACGAGACACCAAGTTGCTTAATAAGGCAATTTTTGGAAAGATCATGGAAAATGTAGAATCACTGATTGAAAACAATGCCTGATGAAGTAAATATACATTACGGTAATTGTATTAAACAAGTTTCGGTCGCTCCCTAATCCATCCTGTATACATATATGCTTCTAGAGGCACTGAGTCTCCGCCTTTCCGCATTGCATCGTCATTTCTGTCCCTCCCCCACGTTTCCCTTTTTACGAGGTCTCCACATTTCACGATGCTCTATCCACACACACATACCGACTGCACTTAGTGTTATTACTTTCAAGGTATCCCTTACGTATATGCGACACTGTGACATCTTTTTGAATCCTCATGTCCTCGAGGCGACGTGGAGACCCTGAGAGACCTCTAGGTTTTCACTACTATCGTCTGGCCAACGACCCAGTTTATAACCAAGAACATTTAAAATAAGCTGAAGAACTATCGGTGAAAAATTAGGTACATTTTCCCGTACATTTGTCTGTATCACTTAGAATAATAGAGAAACGTTTTCGATACGCGACTCTTTTTGCTTTCTGGGCTCAGCAAGGTCTGCTTGATCGTTGATTGCTGTCGCGTCTGACGATGTAGACAGAGGCAACGTTGCCAGATGGACGGTAAGTATAAGTAATGGGAAATAATGTATATGGACTAATTGTATAACCCTGTTTAATTGACTTGATCCGTGATAAACCTGTTCTGCTACAGTCTCAGATGGCGCTAGCGTATTTCAGGTCCCTTCAGCTAGAATACGTTGACCAATGTTGCGTTTCAATAATGGATTGGTCCGCCTGATGTTATTAGTTATGTCCAAGGGTCTCGCGGGTATACTGCAGACTAAACGTCCTCTAATGCACTTCTCTTGTTAGCTATAGAGGCGTATGTCTTGTCGATCTCAAAATCCCCAGGAGGTTTGGGATGGGATTCATATACAGTGAACAAGAATGACAGTTTCCCTCTGCAAACCGATGACAACCTATTGACTAGTATTCGTGAGTTACCTCGCAGAACTGGGTAACGTCTACGATCATTGCTTCCAGCTCAGTGCGTTTTTGTTGAGGAGTAGGAAAGTATTGAACCCCTGTCATTCTGAAGGTTCGTAATATGACTGGATAAAGATAAGCTGGACGTCTGATATGAAAATTATCTGATACTTCTAAGGGTACGGAGGTACCTCAAGGATATTCCTAACGATCGTTTTTGTAGACTTTTATATTTTAGCCACTCTGACGATACTGTGAGTTTGATTAAAGAGTATCTGCCAAAAAACTTATCCCCGATTACGTTCTTCAATAGTTCATGGTTACTCAATCAATTTCAAATTACGTAAAAAACTGTGTCGGATTTAATTGTATCTATACTATAACTATCTAAAACTGTAATGACTCATCGATGTTCACGTGAACATCACTTAACTACCAGTAGTCGGCTGTTCATAGGCGGGGTATGAATGTTTAACATGGGTGAACTAGATTTGTCACATGCTTAATAAAGAGTGGTTTGAAACATATTGTAAGTCAAAAATTTGGGAATTACCTTTATTCATCGTCGCTTCCACTTACAACTGACAGTAATAAACTGTCGCTATCGCTTTCCTCGTTGAAATTGACTATAACTGGCTCTATGATGGTGTCGATGTGGTGGTCAAGCTGTTTTTGTTTCTTCCTTCACAACATGACGGATAGCATTCTGCCAAGCTTCGGGCGTTACTAGCTGTATGGAAGGCTCAAGTAAAACCTTAACGTCTGGTAATTTGAAGGTTGTGTTATGGCGCGCAATATAACCCTTCACTTGAGCCCAGATGACCTCTATTGGGTTCAGTTCACAGTGGTAGGGCGGTAACCGCAGCACAGTGACACCACATTGACGGGCCATCTCATCAGTCACGTAACTAATGTTCGCAGGTTTGTGCTGTTTAATTTTTTCATACAATTCCGCTTTCACACATGAATCGTCAAACGGGATTCCTTTTTCGCGCAACCATTGCTGCATGTCACTTTTTCGAGATCCCATAGTCGGTACACGTTCGGCTCGACGACTATGGTAGGAAGCATTATCCATGACGATCACAGAGTTGGGCTCAACTCGCTGAAGCACCCCTTGAAACCAGCTCTCGAAGCAGCTGGCATTCATTTCGTCATGGTAATCACCTCCTTTCTTAGAGACGAAAATCAAGTCACACTCTTCTAAAAAGCCACTATCGCTACCAATATGAGTTACGATCAATCTTTGACCTTTCCCTGACTGTCCACGAAGACCTGTTGACAAACCTTCAATGCTTGCTTGTCGGTTACTCACTACGTTTTTGTCTATCCAGGTTTTTTTAACTGTGTGACCTGCATTTACCCATGTCTCGTCCAAATAATAGATTTTTCTGCTTTGTCGCCTATATTCAATCATTTCGCGTAGGTATTTTCGACGCCAGGAGACTATTTCAGGTCTCTCTATCAATACTGACTTCCGATTACGCGTTTCGTAACGAAAATTAATTTCGTGCAGGGATTTCCTCATTACCTCGACGCTCATTTGGGATATAATTTCATTTTCCTTGATCGCTGCATGTGCAGCCTTGAGGGTTGGTATCTCATTCCAAAAGAAGAATGAATGTACGGTTCGCCTTAGCGCCATTTTGCTATCGTCATCCAATTTAACGGCCTTTCGTCCCTTCAAATTAAACTTTGGATCAGTAGTAGCTCCAGTTTTTTTCTTTTCATGCACCACCCTGCGAATGGTCCACTCTGGAACGCCTGTCATACTTTCACAATGCGCGAGTGTATCTCCCTGTGACATAGTTCTGTTCAGATAATTGAACACGTTGATCACGATTTATTTCGCGTCCCTCTTCAGTGCTTTACGAAGCCGTCTACTTCTTCCCTGGCTTTCAGTACTTCCACTCGTGCCATTTGTACTCTCCATGGTTAAGTATAACCAAAACAGTAACCACAGAAACCACAACAATAACAATCACACAACAATTCTTATAAAAACACACAATATGCGATCGCTCAACGAAACACGTTCCAATGCGTTGCCGACGCATATGAGTCTGCCGGTCGAGGCGCGTCTTTGATTTCATTGGTTCTACCGGCGGAGAACAATCAGCCATTATTTCCATCTCTGTCTGTGCTGTTGACCACCGCAAAGCCACAGAAACGACATATGTAGTACGCTATACGGCTGTACTGGAAGGAAGCCGGGATCGAGCTCTGATCACGCGTATGAGTCATTACAGTTTTATATAGTTGTAGTATAGACTAGACCATAAAAGACTAGACTATACCTGTTCCAACAGGAAGAACCGCACACCGTTGCTGTTGGTAGGAGAGTAGTCGCTAGTCGCATGCGCGCTGAGAGGTTTGGCAGTGTTGCCGCTATCGTTTCTTAAAGTTACAGACTTTTCATAAGACGTTTACTTTATACCACCTTCTCAAAGACTGGAAGCATCAGTGCGTCTAAGAAACAAAATATTCATATACTACAGCATCGTTCAACCCTGTTCAAACGTAGTTTTACATATAAAGGTGCTACAAGAGTGAATTCCTAAGACAAAAAAAATATTTGTTTCCCGTGTTTCGTAAATATTTAATCTTCCATTTCATCATGGATGTAACTATTTTTAAAAACATATTATTGCAGCTCTGTCACTTTTTTAGGTTGGTTCGTGATTTTTTTATTTTAGAAATTTCTCTACTGCCAATGTACCACTCATTGTGGACTGATTGCTTAAGTGTGAGAGTAGGAAATGCTAAACTTCGATAGGAAGTCCCCTGTAACTTTGTAATTCTATTATTATTATTATAATGATTTTTAAATACTATTTATTAAAACGTCTATACGTTATTTTTATCTTTTTATGAACCTTTAGTCTTTCAGAACGTTTCCTAGATGATCCTGTCTTCACACTATTAATAGATTTCCTACCTGTGCTCCACTCCAACACGATGTAAGCTGGAAATGCAGCCTTAAACTTTATCTCCGAGTTTCCATTATAAAATTAAGCATTCGATGCAGATTCCATTGGACATCACGAAAAAAAAACCTCAAAATGCTTTCTTCACCGTTTATAATAATAGGTGCATCTCGGAGGCGAAAGAACTTCAGCGTAGCAATTCCTCGGTGTATCTCAATCTCACAGCGCGGTCTGAAAAATTCTTTTCTTCATGGCGGCCCGGAATTTCCATATTCTTGTCGTGTATGTGTTGGCCAAACGATTCAGGCGACACGTGACGTGATACGACGGCGAACGGCAATGGCCGGATTGACAAATGATCCCGCCGCCGATCTATCGACATGTCACCGCGTGTAAGAGTTTCGGTAAAAGCAAGCAGTGGCGCAGCGCGCTGTTTTCAACAGATTTTGAAATCTAAGTGTCTTCCTCCTTCCTAGTATTTTAAAACGTACAGCATATTCAGCATCAGTTTTAGTTTAAGAAATATTAAGACAGACGATGTTTTTGATGCTGTTAGTAAAATGAAATCTAATGCTCGAGGTGTGGATAGCTTTTTTCCCACAAATATGGAAAGTGTCACTAGTTATGCCACTTCCTAGAACCAACAATCCAGAACGCGTTAGTGAGTTAAGACCTATCAGCCTTTTACCAGTTCTATCGAAAGTATTATAGGAAATAATCTACAAACAAATTTCAGAGTTAACTTTTAGTAACAGTATACTGCCTGAGAAGCAGTTTGGCTTTTGAAAAGGACGTAGTACTGCTTCTGCACTATTTGTTATAATTGTTACCGTAAGTCTTGATCTACTTCTAGCCAAATGTACTCATTTTGGATTTGATAGCCCGCCACTGCGTTTCCTAGCGCCATATTTCAAAGACAGACAGCAACAGGATTTATATGTCACATAGTATATTTCGATAATTTCAACTCTTTCTGCTTTGGAATATACCATGGTTAATTTATCTAATAAAGCGTTACAAGTTATTTTAGCAACAAAGTTTGGTCAAATTAATCGCAAACTATGTACTAAATTAGTATTTAAAATAAGTACGAGATATTTCCTTATCTTTCTTCAAGAAATAACTTGGGGCCTCGGTTGGCCGCGTTGGTCAGAGTGTCGTGCTACTGATCAGCCGGCCGGCCGGGCCGCGAGTTCGAATCTCGCCTTCGCCATGGATGTTGTGACGTCGTGTGTTTGTCGTCCATAATTATAGAAATATATAAAATATCCAACCTAGTTTCTGGCTGCATGGCCTAGTCCTAAAGCCAAAAAAAAAAAAAAAAAAAAAAGAAATAACTTTTTTGCCACAAAAAAACGCTCCAATAGCTATTTTCAACAACAAAATAATAAACAAACCATGGGCGTAGTGAAGAACAGCATTTACTTATTAACTAAATTCTTTTAGTCAAATTTCTTCTGAAGTAGTACAAACTAATGTGATATACCTATTAAAGTCTACTTTGAGCTTTAAATCAATAAATCTTCAAAACTACTGAACTGAAGCTCATGAATTTTACATCATTATAACGGGAATTGAAAGACCTCTAAAATAAGGTATCACTCGACCCCCCTTTCCATTTAAGATTTTAGGGTTGGTGTCTCCCCCGCCCAGGGGGCTGCACGTGTTAACGTGATTTTTTGCCAAACTTGTGTCCCCCTCGAAAACAAAATCGACCTGTCTGTGCGTTTTTCCAAAAAAAAAACTGAGCTGCCAGTAAATACGTCTGTTTCGTTTTCGATGTATACATCTGATTAGAAAGTATTAATAACTGTTCCGCTATTAATAGCACGAAACACAACCCTGAGTAACTCCTGATGAAACATGCTGTGCATCAGTAGTTTCTCTGTATGATTATGCTGAAAGATTAGCGAAATTATTGCTGCTATAGCTGCTGTGCAAATTTCCGGTGCTCTACCATCTGATTTTGATTCCAGGTAGCTTGGATCCACATCGATCGTCAAATGATCTTGACCATCCACCGTCACGTGATCTCGAAAGTGCCTAGATATAGCGTGACAAACGATAACGACAAGACGTGGATGCTACACGTTAACGGGGTCCAGCAAGAAGATAAGGGATACTACATGTGCCAAGTCAATACCAACCCGATGATCAGTCAAGTTGGATATTTGAAAGTTGTCGGTGAGTTGAATTACTTATAATCTGGAACGTATGAATTTGATGTAAATTAAGTTCATTCTTTATATACTAAGTGACATATAAATCCGAACACCCAGTTTAAATGGTTTTATTTTAAAAAAAATTTGTATAAGTACTTAATGAAGCATAATAAGTAAATGATAAAAATTTCAAAATGATTGCACTGCTTTGAAGCCCTTTGACCTTTAATAATGTGTGGATGCACCCTGATGTGCTACGCATTCTCCAACGCGCCTAGGCATGCTTCTGATCAGGTGGTCAATGTCCTCCTGTGGTATCTCATTCCAGGCAACCACTAACTCCTCTCGAAGTGCTTCTAGAGTCTGAGGAGGACGTTGCAAATCGAGCAATCTCCTACCCATCATATCCCACACGTGCTCAATTGGGGATAAGTCGGGAGATCTTGGTGGCCATGGTAACAATGTGACATCATTACGTTGAAAGAAGTCTATTGTGACTCTTGCAACATGTGGTCGGGCATTATCTTGTTGGAAAATTGGATCTGTCAGGGTGTCAAGATAGGGTAAAAGATGGGGTTCTAGAACTTCGTGGATATAACGCTGCGCGTTCATGTTACCTCTGATGAAGATTAAAGGTGACCTGGAACCATAAGCTATAGCACCCCCAACAGTGTGATGAACATGTCTTTCAACAAAAAACTGTGGATTCCTCCTTTCACCACGTCGCCTTCTAACCCTGGCACGACCATCGTGCATGCCTAAGCAAAATCGAGACTGGTCACTAAAGACAATACTGTTCCATTCCTGATCCCAGAGTGACCGTTGTCTGCACCACTCAAGGCGATTACGTCGGTGTTCTCGAGTTAAAGGGAGGACCCAGTGTGGCCGGTATGAAAACAAGCCAAAACTTCTCATTCGTCGGTAAACGCTTCGCATGCCAATAGGTCTTCCGTGTTCTGCAAACCATTCATTTGCAATGGACCTGGTAGTGGAGAAACGGTCCCTTAAGGCCAATAATCTTAGGCGGCGATCTTTACGGTCTGTTGTTCTACGGCGGCGTCCAGTGCCGCTTGCGCTTTGCGTACGGCCTTTTCGAAGCCATGCCTGACAACACCTAAGCACAGTGTCTACACTTCTTTGCACTCTAACTGCAATTGCCCGAAAAGAAAGTCCAGCTTCCCGAAGTCCCACTATACGGCCCCTATCAAGCTCACTAAGTTGACGAAATCGTACAGGTCTCCGTACTCTAGGCATCGTAACCGATCGTAAAGGATGTCAAGAACCCAAATCCGCCAACGTTGATTCTTTACTGCGGCTGAAAAATTGGAATCAGAAGGCATCCATCATTTTCCCTAGCAAGATCGCGTGTCCGACTTTCATGGTTATGTTATTTTCAAGATCGTGAATGGTTAACGTGGCATAGAAAAACAAAACCTCAGCAACGTTTCGTCACTGTCATGAGTTCATAAATTGTAAGTATCGAGGTAAATCATAGTACCTAGATGTTCAAAATCTCCGTTATTGTGCATTGCTCGATTTACTGCTCTTCTTCTCAGTCTTCCAAACTCGGTTGCTATGGTCGATTTGAGGTCCGGGGTCTGGTATACGAAAAAATGAAATCTAATGTTAACATTGCGAACGTGAGGAGAAGAAACGTGTATAATTAGATATATTGAATCGGCATTGGAATATTAGGAAGGCAAATAAATTCCACCGTACTAATGAAGCTCTCGGTCGGATAAAGCGCAACGTGACGCATGCGTGGAATGCGAAATTTGCATTCCTTACATATCGCGCTCCACACGTTAGTTTGTGGGCATGTGAAATTATTAGGAATACCAGGCACGAAACCTGTGTAAACGAGCGCCCAACTTTCGGGTTTTGTCTGGATAAGCTTCATCGAAAATGATGACTCTATGTATCCTCGCAGGTTGTACAATTTTTCTGCAGATAGTCCCATCGATCTTATCCCTTTGCGGCCAAGTGTATTTATTATGAAATTAGACGAAAAACCAAGCACAATCGTGGACATGTCCGCAGTAAAGGAATAGGAGCAGAAAAAAAGGGATTGGTAACCCGAGCGACGTATAATAATAATAATGATAATAATAACAAAATCATGCAGATAGG